TAATTTGTTTTTTGCTAATGACTAAATGTCAATATTATACAAACTAATAAATACACGAAAAAAATAATGTCATATTTAAAAACATGTAGGTAGATATGCAATATACGTACGTAGTAAATTGATATTTATTACAATAAACCCAAACTCAAATTGATCAAAAAATTCAATATGAAAATAAATTATTAGTAAGACTATATTTATTATCATTATATTTTGAAAAATAATTAGAGTAATTTAACCTTATCTTTAATTATCATGACTTTATTAGAGATGTAACACGACCTTTAGCCATAACTATAATACTAATACTGTAAATTTATACATATTATCGGCCTACTACTTAACCCAAAGTTACTAATGTTTTAACACTATTATGGTCAGATTACATAAAATATGAACATTAGCACAAGCTTATTATTATTATAATAGCATGTCAAATAATATGCATAAAATTCTTTAAGTTAAATCTTATATGTAACGTCCCAATCCAACATTTAGAACTTACATATGGTTAATATAACTAGTATTATCAATAAATGGTAAAACATCCGCTTCAAAGTGACGTTCTTGGGGTTAATGATTATTTTTGATTATTTTGCACAGTGAATATAGAAGCTAGAAATGGGGTTTACAATGATTTTTTGTTAGTGAAACGTTACATTTCCAAAAAGTACTTTAAACTATATAAATAAGTTATCTGGGCAATTGATTTACATCAACCAATCATACGAATGTCTCCCAATGCACTCATGGGTCAACCTGCGGGTTGACCCACGGGTTGACCGTGGGTTGGCTACCCGAGTTGTTACAACTCAACCCGGGTGACCCGGGTAAGACCCACCCGGGTCAAAACACTACTGTAAGGAACAGGAGCGACCGTTCAAATTCGTAGATTATTCCAATATGGATACACAATTGATAATTTTTTTTATACATTTTACCATACTTCTTTTAAAAGCTCGGGTATCATAATTTTCTATGAAATGTGAGTAAATTTAACGGATGAATTGATGTTTTTGCTTTGCTTTATAACATATTTTTTGAATCCCCGTGAATCCCACAACTTTTTTTAGTAATCTGATTGGCCGATATACTAAAACTCGAGATATGATTGGTTGACAATCACGTGTTTTGTATAGAAATCGTCTACGAATTTGAACGGTCGCTCCTGTTCCTGTAAGGGCCTAAAAAAACAAAACTATATACTTTTACCGACCCGAAATTAAATTTACCATGTTTTTGACACATCTGGTTCGCAAATTTACTAAGTTTTGAAAATTTTGAATTTCGGCATGCATCTAGTTTACAGCTGTTTTCATAATTTCTGGGACACCTGACAAAAAATTAGCCGAATGATTTTTCGGCCGATTCAGTTAAGTTATTGATTTCTGCATAATAGATTCAATATGAAATTTAAGATCTAATATAAAATTTTTATTCTAAAATTATTCGGAATGTTGTCGATTTTCCGAACAGGAGTTTATTCTTATACTGTTTTCATTACGGGACGTTAAAATAGAGAATGTCTAATTAAATGCTTATCGTGCAAAAAACGTATAACATCCAATTAACATCATGTAAATATTCAAAACGGAATCGATTTGCCAAACAAAAATCGGAATGATTCCAGGGGATTTTTTTTATAGGGAATATTATAAGACTACATACCCATATCTACTTTTAAAGCATCTTCTTTGACAAATGAAAAAAAAATTTAGAAGGCATTCAAAAATTATTAAGACTTAGGTGTTAACAGATCTTTTAAAATTGAGTTCTCAAGCGCTTAAAAGAAATGGATGTATTAAAAAACTTTTGTAATTCATTTTCGACAAATGGGAGAGTCAATAGAAAAGGGACAAATCAGTTTTAGTAAAATTTTTTAATTTTTGAATTAAAATATCTCAACACCATCTAATCAAATTTTATAAAAATTTATTTCAATCTTAGAATTACATAGAATTAAAATAAAAAAATCATTAAATTTGATTAGATAGTTGTTGAAATGCTTAAGCTTAAAGTTAAGAAACTTTCACTTAGCCCTTTTCTATTGACTCACTCCAAATGTTAAAATCTTGACTTTTAATATCAAACTTTTTTAATATTAGCATTTGTTCATGTAATATATTTATTATAAAGTCGAATTTATATTCGGAGCCTTTTTTGTATTTCTTGATAGTCTTTCATAAATGTTGCATAAACTGACTGGCTTGTCAATGAAGTGACAAGGCCAGCATTATTGCGAGATCACGTGACAACACATGACCAAGTATATATCGGGAAGGACATGTAAAGTCCTATGATGTAATGGAATTCTTTGAGAGATTGTTTTGTGTGAAAATTCCCGTAAAAGGGAAAATATGGATTTAAATAGAGATTGTTTGTTAGTATTTTTTCTTCCTCTTTGGTTTCGCTATTGCTCGCCTTATTGATAGGCTAGCTTTATTGTTTTCCACATAGCATGGACATTGGGTAATAAATAAATAAATAATTAATAAATAAATAATTAATAAAGAAGTGTTACGAATTATCTGAGCGTCGAAATCATGTCAGTGGTCGGTTGGACAAAGTTAACGTTAAACGAGTTAAGGGATTTGTGTTTGTCTTGTGGTTTAGATACGCTTGGTAATAAAGATGAGCTAGGGGAGAGATTAAATACCCATTTTGATAAGAAAAAAGGGAAATTACCATTGAATTTGAATGATGCCGATAGTAATGCCGGGTTCTAGAATTAGTTGAAGGCCAAAGTATTAATAATGATAATGATCTAATTGAAGTAGAGGGAGATTTTGTTTCTAAAAATGAAGAATCTTTGGAATTAGAGTCATATTTGGGCAGTGAATATAATTTCAGAAAACAAGCAGGAAGTACATCTGGAATATCACACTTGAGGAATAAGGAGTGTGGTCAGCAGAGTTCCTAAATTAAAAGTCCAAGTAAGAAGAATAATCAGCATGTTGCTGAGGAAGGAAAGAGAGTAATAAAAAAGATGGATGCGGTGCCGGTTGATGTGTTTCTTTCTGCCTTGAATAATATAGAAAGAAAGATTGATTATAATTTTGAGGCATTGCAAGACCAACATTTTAAAGAAACGGAACAAAAAAGTTTGCTGAGCAAAGCTTGGCCACGGGTTAAGTTGGAAAAGCCCTATGACAAATACGAATATGATTTTTTGATTGGGGTTGGAAAACAGCTTGATAAGGCCATAGGAAGACTATCCGAATATGATCAAAAAGAATTTATCGCTATTAGGGAGGAAATTGAATCATGTGCAGTTACTCTTCAGTTGGTGAATGATAGAGGATGGAAGGTGGCATTACAAGTGGTTGGAGGAAATGACAAGATGATGCAAAAATATAAAGACCAAATTGGAATGGTAACAAGCGCTTTACCTTCAATAGGAGCAAATACTTGGAACTACAGTAGAAAGTTTTTTAAAAGAAATTATAGGAAGTCACAAATTAAAAGAAAGTATAGGGTAGAGTCTGCATCTACTTCTTCGGAATCAGAATCGGAGGAAAGGAAGTCAGTTTCTTATAATAAAAATAAGAAAAGAAAAAATGGATACTATTCCTTTCGCAACAAAAGGCTGCATGGGTCAAATAGATTATCAAAGTCAATTGTATGTTATAACTGCGGAGGAATCAGGCATATCTCACCCAACTGCTCTTCAACTAACTCAAAAGTACCAACAGAAAGATCCTGACTCAAACAAGATGATTGACAACGCTCGGGGGATAGTGCAAACAAAATTGAGCTTGAAAGAGGTCAATGTAGAGCAATCGGTAGTGGGAAAGATTCATCGAATTTCATCTCAAGCGTATTGACGCCAAAAAATCAAGCCCTCGCCGGTAATTTTGGACTGGTTAAAGTATGGAGTACCGCTTTGGTCAAAAGAGGTTATGCCTTTAGCAGTAAAACCAAATCTGAAGCAGTATCCGATTACTACAGAACAGACAGAGTGAGTCAGAAACGAGTTAGAATATTTGCAAGAAACAAAGACAATTTGTTGGTTAGGAGACCAGATAAAACGGTTAGATTTTTTACTAAAAGTGAGCCCAGTATTCCTTGTGCCAAAAAAGGGTCCGAAAAAGTGGCAGATAGTAATAGATCTAAGGCGATTAAATATCATAGCCAGAAATTCGTCTGATTGGCTAATGCAAATCAATTGCCCAGATAACTTATTTATATGTTTTAGAGTACTTTTTAAGAATGCAACATTACACAAGTAACTATTCTTAACAAATATTGTCA